TAAACTTGTTGAACTTTTATTCTTGTGTCCGTCAGTGGTGTTCTGCATCATTGGGTCACTTTCAGAGTACCCATCATGACAGTTTGGGAGTTAAAAAGTTCTGCTTTAAATTGGGAAATATGTTGCATTGTCGTTTAACCACCACTAGATGGAAGTGAAAAGTTCAATATTTTAAACATGAAGCTCAAAGTTTATCTGCTGTGATAATTTGACACTTATCCTTAATTTGACCCCATTCATGCTGCAGATCACTTCATTGCTGTTTAACTCCCTGATATCCCACAATTAAAAAACTAGAAGGTTAAAACTCCAACTTCATTAAGGCCAACTGGTTCCCATGAAGATAAGTTATGTTTTTGGGGTGGGGGTTAGATTTAGAAATAAGGTCTGAACTGAGTTTAGGACAGGTTTAGGGTAAGTTATGTATCAGTTTTGGTCATTATTATTCTTCAGGCAGTTACAGGCTACAAATATTTTCCGGTCAGCAGAAAGCAGCCTTATCTTCCTCATCACTGAATGATCTCATACCTTAATCTATTGGTGCTGTAGCTCAGTTTTGCAGCACTTCCTTCACAGTGTCTGACTGCTCTTATCTGCTCATTACAGCTTAGTTATTTCTGCATGTGTTAATGAAATAATTCACACTATGATGGTTCATTAGATACAAAGAGGAACTTTAAAGTTGCAAACCTCTCTGTCTGCCTGTCCTCATAGCCCAGAAACCAAACGCAGAAAAGAAGCAACTCTAGCTAGAATCATTGCTGCTGGACTAAAAACATTTTATCCCCAAAATGTAACTGTATTTTAACTGCAAAAAGGTTTCTACTTAATGTATTAGAAATGTATTATTAAAATCACAGACAAATGCAAAGGGTGCTAAATGGAGTTGATTTAAATAGAAACAAAAAACTAGTTAAAATAGGGAAGCACCATGTTTTAGCCCGACTCTAAGGATATAATCATACACAATGATCAGAGATTCCACTGGCCTTTTTCCTGACCCTACCCTGTACTAATCCTGGATGGAGGGAAGGTACTTCTAGAGTTGCAGAAGGAAGTCCAGTCTGTGATTGGCCTTCATCTGGGCCTTCTATGTGTGAGGACCACCTCAGGTCCAGAGAAAGGCTGGTTCCTAGGAACCACAATAGATCCTCAGTCAGAACAGTGTTGTTCAGGATGGTGAGGGGAGGTTGTGAGGGGGAAGTTCTCCTGAAGTCCACCACCATCTCCACCATCTTGAACATGATAAGCTCCAGGTAGTTTTGACTTCACCAGTAGACCAGCCTATCCACCTACTGCCTGTATGCAGACTGGTTATCATCCTGGATGAGAGCAATGACAGTGGTGACATCTGCAGACCTCAGGAGTTTCATGGACTGAGATTCTGTTATTGGTGTTCGAAGGAGAAGAGGAGGGGAGAGAGAACAAACAAGTGGAAAGGTGGTGGTGTGACAGCTCTTGTGCAGCAGAAGATGCTCCCCAGGCTCACCTGCTGCTGCTGCTGGTCAGTCAGGAAGCTGATGGTCCACTGACAGGTGAGGGCCGTCAGTATCCTAACTGATGGGGTTGAAGGCTGAGCTGATCCAGAACCAGGATCCTGGTGGATGACCCTGGGTGGTCAAGGTGTTGCAGGATGAAGTGTAGGCCCAAGTTGACTGCATCATCTGCTGACCTTTTTGTTGAATAATAAACTGCAGGGGATCCAGGAGGTGGCCTGTCATGTCCTTCAGATGCTTTAACATCAATAAAAGCTTTCTACATATAATTAAGGGTGACAGGTCTGTAGATTAACCCCATTATGGAGCTTTTCTTGGGTACCAGGATGATGGTGGAGCTTTTGAAGCTTTTTTTCTTTTTCTCATGTTGGAAGACTCTGTTTACATCTACCTTTCTGATCTATTATGGATAAATAGAACTTCCTTTATTTTGATGCTTTAACATGTAATAAAATAAGGGTGGACCAAGGACCAATTTAGGACATCACAGTGCATAACCACAATAACAAAGAGGACCCACTTGAGGTTGATAGTGCATCGTTGAGCTGCTGTGCAGATAAAAAAAAGTCAGCTGAAATAGGTGTGAACATTAACTTTAGAAACGCAGGAACCAAAAGAGCAGATCTTTAACAATCATTGAGGAAAACAAAGGTTTAATCGCACAAATGCATTTCCAAACTATGATTTGCATTAACCCTTTCTAAAATCTGTCTTTGTTTTTCTTATAATCGTTTAAATCTGCATATCACAAAGACTAAAATCTTTCTGCAGTGGACAGGAAGTACAACCCACCAATGGCTGCAGTCAAAGCTGCTGCTGTGGGACGAACTTTGTTAAAAACGGAAGGCAACACACAGGCTTTATTTAGAGGTGTCTAGCATGCTGCTGTCATGTGTAATGTCTAACTTCTTCTTCATTATAGTTCAAATGCAGAAGAAGCCTTTCTAATGAGCTGTGCAGCAGGTCTGGATGTGAGGATGAAGAACGCTCTGCTCTGCATGTTGGGCTTTTTCTGTAAGGACATATCTGAATTTTTGTTTAAAGATCAAAAACAATATTTATGTGTTTTGCATTTCACCTTAGTGTGATTAAATAAATGCGTTCAATATTTAGTGTTTATTAATTTTGAATATTGTATCTCTTTACCAGTCTAACCTGAAAACTCTGTTATTAACATGTATTGTCATAATTTAGTTTTTGTTCTTCTTTGCAGTGCTCTGGTCTTTCATATCTGCATGGGGCGATGGTGAGAATCTGTTTTGTTTTTTCTGTTCTAGTAACTTACTGACATTTTTCTACACAATTTTCATTATATTTTTTGGAAATGATCAGATTAAATCAACAACTCTGTATTGTAATCTGTGCTGAAGGTAAAATTCAGAAATTCAGATCTAAACATACAGTGCTTGAGTTTTCTCGTGAGTTTTCCATTTGATTGTGTCAACAGATCAGAGTGAAAAAGTGGATGAAACCACTACAGATGGTGAAGATTCATCCCCAGGAGCAAATGGTATAGTAGGATCAGTGTTTTTAAATAATATCTGCCCTAGGGCCTTCTACTATGACATATAGTCTAAAAGTGAACCTTTATATGAGTAAAAATGTAAAGAAGAAAATGTTTCTGCCTCTTTGGATGGTTCAAAAGTTTCTCTCTTCAGCACCATCTGCTGTTAGAGATCTGAAGGCAGAAACTGGTTTTTATGATAAATGTTATTATTTTCCTTTTTTTACTGTGCAATTTATGAGATTTGTAGATGGAAAATCAAATGATTTTATCATAGTCTAAAACTGAACCTAACCTTTATGAGTGAAAATGTAAGGAGGATAATGTTTCTACCTATTTGCAACTATTCAAACGTTTTCGTTCTCTTCAGCACCATCTGCTGTCAGAGATCTGAAGGCAGAAACTGGTGTGTACTATAAATGTTATTTTCCGTTTTTACTGTGCAATTTATGAGTTTTTTGCTTAAGGTGACAGGGCTCAGAACAGAGAACCCTGTATTAAAGGTAGACAGACAGATTTCTCGAAAAGCATATATTTAAAAAAAAAAAAAACAGATTGGCAGTGGGCAGCTAGGGCGTCTATGACAGAAACCTCTGCATGAGGAAAACACAGGTTAGTGACCATGTTAAATGGCGGAGCATGATTACAAAAGTGTTAGTTACTATCTGGTCTTATAGTTCATTCCATGCCCAGAGTAAGAGGTGGATTACAACTGAAGAGCTGACAACACGATGTGGCATATCTGGCAGGAGATCAGATCCAAGCAGACGGAGGAAGGCAGGACAATCCAGAGGACAAAGCCAGAGCCGGTGTTGATTAGCTTCACAGGATTCCGGGCCAGAAGATCAGATATCTTGAAGGTGCCAAAGGGAAATCCAGGTCGGTGTCAGGAAGTAGTTCCAGAGTCGTCAACAGACAGAATCCATTAGGAGTCCTGGTTAGGCAAACAGATCGGAATAGGAACAGGTACATGGTTGGGATGGGATGTATAAAGGTAGCAGAAAACCACATGGGGGTCTTCTGGACTGATTGCAAAGATGGTAAGCTTCTACAAACTCCAGCACATCTGAGGACAGGGAAGGCCACCAGAATTGTGCCCAAATAATGTTGATGGTTTTAGACAGTCCAGGATGAAAAAAACAAGTGGGAACCATGACAGAACTCCAAGATCCCTTATCTAAAAAAAATCAGGCACAAACACACAGTGATTAAGAATATTGTCTCGGGTTTGATGACTACAGAGAACATCTCTCACTTCCTTCTCTAAATCAACCATAGTGACAGAACATCTCACTGACTAAGGTACCACATACTCCTCTGTACCACCGGAGCTCTGTTCATCTGACTCAAACGCCCTGGACCAAGCATCAAGTTCAACATCACTGGTCTATAAGACAATGAAAAGTTTAAAAGCCCAAAAAAGTGCCAACCTTGCCTGTCTGGGGTTAAGTCTCTTACCAACTTCTGGTATTCAAAGTCCAAATCACAAAATTAATCTTGGACCCCTCCAACCACTGTCTCCATTCCTCCAGAACCAGCTTTATCGTCATAGCTCCCGATCCCCCACATCATAGTTCCACTCTGTGCTTGAAAGTCCCTTGGAGAAGAAGGCACAGGAGTCATTCTTGTTATCCCTGGCTTCTTGGCTGAGGACCACCCCACTCCAGTACTGGAGGCATTCACCTCCACAATAAATTGTCTTTTTCAATCATGGGAAACCAAAACAGGTGAAAAGGAAACAAAGTTTTGAGTCTCTGAAAGGCTCGATCAGCGTGTTCATTCCAAAAGAACTTAATCTTATCTGAAATCAAGGCATGAAGGGGTGCAGCTATCTGACTTTAGTTTCTGTCAAACTTTCTGTAGAAATTAGCAAACCCCAAGAACCTCTGCAGGTGCTTTCTATCTTTGGGAACAGGCCAGTTGGTATTGGTGCTCACATATGGTACATGGCAATCTGATCAGGGGAAACCACAAAACCCAGGAATGACGTAGTTTCAACATGAAATTGATATTTCTCAGCTTTAACAAAGAGCTGATTCTGCTCGAGGTGTAATAGAACAGCTCTTACGTTCTTCTTATGGGATTCCAAATCCTGAGAGTAAATAAGAATGTAATCCAGATATACAAAAACACAATGTCCCTGAGTACCTCATTGACTAAATGTCAGAAAACAGCTGCAGCGTTAGAAAGGCTGAAAGGCATGACCTATTATTCGTAATGACCTGTTGGAATGTTGAATGCTGTCTTCCACTCATCGCCCTTGAGAATACGTACCAAATAGTGCGCATTGTGGATCAACTGGTTCAAAATGGCCATCCAAGGCTATTACCTTGTGGGAATTCAGGGATGGAAGAAGCCTTATGCCCAGTGGTCTGGCAGAGTGCCCATCCATAAATTCAGTATCAGCACCAGAGTCCATGAATGCAGACAGGTTAAGACTGCAGGAATTAGCAGAAGATCTCAGGAGACAAAAAGTTTGATGTGGTTCAGCAGGATAAATTCTGTATATTCCAGTACAGATCCATCTCCCTGAATAAGTGACAGAAGTCCTCTAGAAGCCTCCCTTCTGGGAAAAACAGGGCAGAACTAGAACTTAAATGAACTAGAATTGTTTTGCCATTCAGATGTTCCCCACAACTTCGCTTTATTGGCTAAGCCCGACATTGATCAGAGTCAGCATTAAACAGTTCAGGGGGAAACAGACAATCTTGACAATCTGATCTGACAACAGGTGCCATAGACGCTGACGCTGTCGTGTGGGAGCAGTGGTGTCCTGATTACGGAAATGTGTTAGGATTTCCTGTATGCCTGATTTGAGTTGAGATATACATTCTTCTACGTCCAAACGCTACTCTCTTCCAATGGCCAGATTATTCTGTCAATCAATCAAGCCAGTCATCAGCACTAAGATCATGACAGAGTGAAGGAATGGGAAAATAACTGTTTGTTTAACTAAAATATTCAGAAAAACTACAAAATTTTCTCAGATACTTAAAGCAAACATTTTGCATGATCAACATAGTTGAATTAGTCCATTAAAGATAAACAAGATTTGTGAACTTTTTCCACCTGTTTTTTATTAATTTTGTATTTAGTTTTTATTTTTATGCTTTGACTCTTCTTCTTAATTTCCTACAAAGTTTCCATGACTCTGCAATCCAACAGGTCCAAATATTCAGAGCAGAGACAGTAACTCAGAGATATGAGATTCAGGGAGGTGGAGGATATCAGTGCATGTATAACTGGAGAACAACCAGCAGAAACTCTCAAACTTCTAGTAAATCCAGGATCAACAGAGCTCCTCAATCCTACAGTGGAGAAAACAGCAGCAGGGCTAGAAGAGACTATGAGCTAACAGGGTGGAATGATACCTTCAAGGTGTTTTCAAATTAAAGATTAACTTTTTGCCTTGAGCAAACAATTTATATGTATTGTAGAGGGCAGTACAAATGGACTGGACAAATTCCAAACTGACCCCTAAACACAACCCCTATGCACTAATCTCTGCTTTCGGTTTTCCCGTGAAGGCTGGGTAGGGTAAGAGGACTGTTCACCCATTAAATCTGCATCAGTGCAGACTCGCTGGAATTTGGTTGTGGGAGAAACACCTTCATTTAAGTCTCAGTTCCATTGGTGTGCCGTATCTCTGCCACACTGACAGAAACCCACAAGTTATGAAAAAGAAAAATACGTTACTATTTCCAAAAGGGGAATTCTTCTTTAAATAGTTGTATTTTACCCTATCAATTTATTTTCAAGAAAGGGGCAAATGCTTGAATTCATGTCATGGCATTTTTAAGTTTCCAGATCCTATGTGTGAAAATAACGTAATTTATCTACTTTAAAAATGATATGCAACATGGAACCTCAAGAACGTATATAGAGAGAGTTTTGATAGGGGCACATGAGACTTTGTAGATTATTAATATTGCTTCCCACAAGCAATATATTTTGGATTTTTTTTTATCAATTCCTGGCATAGAGAGCATGTGCTGCTCCCATGGGAGCAAATGGGACAGTGACATGGAGAATCAGCGACAGGAACAAGAAGGTGCATTTTTAGATTGTCTGCATGTCACACACCTATGAGAGAGTTCACCTGTTCTGAGATGGCAGCCTTTATCAAAATTATTACATAATTTAACATCAGAACGTTAAATTTTCTATTAGTCTAAGCAACAATAATATGACAGTAAAAAGCTTCTTTACTGGTGTATTTGCTTCACATTCATTTTTAAATGCTATTTTCTACTTAAAGGAAGCAGAATATTTTATCTCCTAATTATGTTCAAACTAATATTTTACATGATGTCAGCCTTTTTCAGACGTCAGTTTGAATGTTTTGAATTCACTATGTAGTTAATATTTCTATTTTTTTGGATTGCTGTAATAATATTTTCTTATGCTATTAGGTCAATGTACTGATTCATTGGTTTATTTTGTTAAGTTAAACAGACTTTTTTGTTCTAAATGTTTCTGTTCTAACCAGATATTTCTTTATGTGAGCAGTTTCCATTAAACCCACTGTGACTCTGCAACACAACTGGTCTCCAATATTCAGAGGAGAGAGAGTCACTCTGAGATGTGAGATCCATGGAGGTGGAGGAACTGAGTGGACGTATGAATGGAGACCAACCAGCAGATACTCTGAAACATTCAGTGAATCCAGGACCATAACAGCAGACAGTGACTCCTACAGCTGCAGAGGAAGAACAAACTATAAGTTAACTCAATGGAGTGATTCTTTTTCATTAACTGTTTGTGAGTTACCCCTCTATTTTAGAAAATAGGTGATTGTTTGAAATGTTTCAATTAGTTTTATCTAACCATCTTCTTCTATAAAAACATTCAAATTTGAGCTGTTGCTTTTCAAAATATTTCAGCGTACTTGTTTTAAAGTTTATGCTTAAAGTTTGAATTAAATATTTTGTAACATTAAAGATCTTAATCAGCTTTGTTAGTTTTTAATATGATCACAATGTTGCTACAGGTGAGCCAGATTATGTTGGCCAGTACAGAACAGTTTAGGAAATGTTCTAACTTTACTCATTGGTTTTAGATAATATTGGATTAAAATATATTTTTCTTCATTGAACAATATTTTTCAGTGAATACTTTCAAGAACAACATGAACACATAAACACTGTAAAGTTAATATTGGCTATACTTTGAAAAATTATAATAATGTTTTAGTTGCCTACATAAATATATGTGCCAGATAAACAAATAAAAAAATTAGAATAAAAATATGTTGGTATATGTTAGTAAAAAGTTGAACCATTGTTTATGTAAAACGTGGCTTTAAATTCTCAGGGGATCAAACATCTGATTTATTCTACTGAATGCTAGATTTATGGTGATAAAACACTTCATTAAACAATATTCTGGAGATTTACCTGCTTTTGTTTTTCCTCAATAGCAGAAAAACCAAGAGCCAAACTGACAGCAGAGAAAACAATCATACCAGCAGGAGGCAGTATAACACTGACCTGCTCTGTGCCCAGCTCTGCTGGATGGAAGTTTGACTGGTTCAGACAGAAGTCATGGTATCATGCAGCTCAGTCCATCAGAATCAATGAACCTGATGGATTTCTCAGAATCTCAGAGGGAGGTCTATACAGTTGCAGAGGAGGAAGAGGAGATCCAGTTTTCTACACTGAA